TGCCCCAATACTTCTGAGACTTGCTGTAACACATCACCCGCTGAGACCCTTTATTCCAATTAATTTTGGTAAGTCTATGGAGGTGTTCAAAGCAGGCAATGTATTAATGGGATTTTTTTAATACAGAGTTTGGAGATATCAAAAATCCACTGAATTGCCATGATACGGTATATTTCTATAACTAACATCAGTTATTATCAACGCCACATTATGATACAACTGCATAAAGTAATTACTGTTTTATCATTACCAGGGTAATTTTTTAGGAACAGTCCGTTAAGTGGGAAGGCCGATTTCAAGCATTTTTTATAAATAATCTATAACACCCTAGTTGTCAGAGCGATGCATTCCTACACATATCAGTGGAGGGAAATATAAAATCAGACACTGTGTGCTGTTCACTACAATCAGTGTACTGTACTTTGCAGTACATGAAAGCCTTAATATTACCGGTATGCATATTTCACTGCTTGTCGTAATAATTTAGTATTACAAATATTACGTTGTCAATTTTATATAATTTTAAATCGTAATTTTTATAGCCATACTTTTTAGATCAACTCAGCTGAGATATTGTATTTAATGTTTTGCCTCCGACATTGTCAAAAGTCATAAGCTGTTAATAATTGATTATTTGTAAAAATCAAAAGTAATAAATTAGTGAGATATAACATTTTATATTGTGCTTTCGCAATACATTCAGTGACAAGATTATATTTCTCTGAAGAAAAGATATTGCTCATGTGAAGTAAATTTAATGTAAATTTACCAAATAGTATCAGTAACGCAATTAAACACGATCATACAGGGTATTACGGGCAGTTTTATTAATTTGTTTTCTCTACCAGATGTATAATACTTTATTTTCATCTGCAAATGAAGTCCAGTAATATTTCCCTATGGTTTACATATTAGAAGTATATATCTAATAGAAGTGCACAAAAACCAAAATGCTATTTACTGCACACCGGATTAAAGTATGAGTAATTTTGTAATGTGGTACTAATAGAGCAAATAGAGTAAGATTATAAATATGACAGCTCAGTAAAAGTAAATAGCATGAATTTGTGGTTTTTAGTGAAAATAGAGTGAAGCATAGTCCATGCGCCATTACATGATTCAAAGAAAAGCTGATTCAGGAAAGCTGATTTGAAGTTTAAGGATCATGGTTTTAAACAAATGAAAGATGTGCATTGATTGGTTGACAGCCAGCTACATATCACACATTACAGAATGTTTCAACCAATAAGTGAGAGTGTACCAACCTGTACTTTCTCATTTAAGTCTTCTAGCTGCATCCCTAGCTGAAATATTTCCCCTTCGATTTCTTTTTCAGCATCAAACGTTTTATCATGTTTATCCGTAATTAAATTAGTTTGTCGCTGAATGGTGTTCTGTTCCTCTTTGGCATGTAAATATTCCCTCTCTAATCGTTCATGTTGTACCTTTATACGTTCAAATACTTCTTTCTGGTCTTCTGGTGACAACTGGTCTTCACTAAGTATTTTCTGAAATGATTCCATCTGGAAGACAGGAGGATGCAGCAATTTACTACTACTCAAAACGTTATTTCAAACACGGCATAAAAAATATATATTAAATATGAAAATTTAATACTAATATAGTAACGGAATCAAAAATCATAATATTTGACAAATGTGTGATTATATTCGGTATGCATGCCCATTAACTTTTTTGCATATAATCCACAGCGAATTTGAGTAAGAATATATTTTTACTTTCTAACATTCAAATGCTGTTGCTTTTCAAAAATAGTAACCCTCCATAAATCACAATTACAGCAGCACTGAAATAAACTGATAAAGATCTTCCTATAAATTGCCAATGTTCCAAAGGAAATTGATAGGGAGATGGCAGCTTTCATGATCAGTGTATTTCATCGCCCGATGTAAAAGACGATGGTCGTCAAGACAACATGTGTTTGATATGGGTCCCATGCTATGCATAGCAACATATAGGCAAGTGGGTCAATGTGTTGTTTATTTATGCTTAAATGGATTGCATTTAACCTTATACAGTGGTGACAACTGCTGTAACTTTAATAAAGTAAGATATTTTGTAATCCATGAATGCTAGCTACGCAGAGTTCAACAGCTTTCACACATAATTTGACAATGCTGGGTGTTATCATAGAGTGAACACAAAACAATAATATTTCACCAATACAGATGGTCCAAATTCAATGGGGTTTTCACTACCCTAAGGTCTAAACTATATGCCATATTGGTCATTGACCAGAAAGGTTGTATGTTCGCTATTACTAGTAACTGAGATATCCACACATTTACTTTGTATTGTGAAAGAAATGTTATATATTAAATGGGTTACTATGCAGTTCTAAGACAAAACTGGTTCATAATCCAATGCCACTGATTTTTCATTGATTTTATTTTATTTTAGAGATGGATATTTTTCGGCACTGTACAAAATTTGTGAGTGGGCAATAAGGTAGCCATTCACACATTCATATGCAAAATAATCTTGAAGGCAATAAACGATTTCCGAGTCCCTTTGATTTTATGGTTTTAACGACAACAAACTAGTATTCTTAGTAGCCAAGCCTGAAGGGCATCACAGGTAAACTGGCTGACCTGCACAGTGCAGATAAAATGACACTATAGCTGTGATAACCTGCACAGTTCAACTCAATTAGAATTTTAGTCAGGTTATAAATGAATTAATTAGAAGTGAGAGTTGACGAAAACATGTCCTTGAATAATTCAGACATCCAAGTCAAACACATGACATGATTCAATGGTGTTCCAGCAATCATTGCATCTATTGTTCAATGTTAACAATAAAAGGCAAGCTTGGCAGCCACCCAAGTAACAAAATATCCAACAATATAATAGTGTTGGCACATTTTTATACACATAACAACAATACCTATTTATTTATGCACCAAAGCATTAGAAGCATCATCAAATTCAGAAAATCAAAAAGTTTTTTTTTTTTAAAAAGTATGATTTTGAAAGCAGCTGTTTTAAATTGAAAATACGACTATATGTTAGGTCTGTTGTATTATGGCATTACTGAGTGGATTGGTAAATGGTGAAAGCTCTAATGATAGGGTCCAACAGTCTGTCTCTTTAAATTGCAATAAATTAAATATATAGAGACAATACACGTCAATACCAACCCCAGCATAAAATTGTAATATAATAACAGCATATTTTACACAAAAAACAAAAATAAAATTAAAATGGTACAGAAAAAGTACTAATTAAGCCTTATTCTCCACATAAACAAAATAGTCATTAACAGTAAATGATAATACTTTATTCAGTGTATTGGCATAAAAAACAACTGATTGCAAATATTTCTAAATATCTGAGAAAGAATTGAAAGTTACCTGTTCTTTAAGTGTTTTGGCTTGAAATCGCAATCCCATGGCTGTGCTTTCAGCACTGGTGACTGCAGCCAACACAGGGTCATCATCGTCTATGTCATCAGCTGTGGTTATTGTGGTATGGCTGGTGTTTATAGGATCCCCTCGCACTGTGTAGAACCAAAACATAATGTTAGACATCAATAACACCCATATCACAATAATTCTCACATATTGAAAGAACAGAACCACAGAGATAGTGTGTAGTGTGCCCACTACAACACACAGTCACAATAAAAACAAAATAACCAAATGCTTTTTTCTGAACCAAGAGGGCGCTATTCATATTGATTTAATTTTTTCACTTGCCCACCAAATATTCCATAGAAAGCATTGCACCAAAGAAAACACATCTTAGAGAGATTCAATCTTTTACATTTAAATTTTGAAGGTAAAAAGACAGTGTACTGAGTGCTAAAGACATACATGCTGTCTACATATTATAATACATGGACTCAACAAGGAAAACCGGCAAGTGCCAGTCAATAATTCCTCTTTTCAACTGAATTGCAGCAAACAGGACACAAAGAGATGTAAAAAGAAAGTGAACATGGTTGGATCAATCTTGTTTATGGTAATACTAGGAGTGGAGAGACTTACTTGTGTCACTGAGAATAGCATGCTGTGGAGCAGGGCTAAGCCTAGCATGTGACAATGAACCCAAATTTATTGTCTGTGGTTGCAGTGCCTTTGATAACGTTCCTGTTGTACTCTGTCCTGGTTGGGGTGGAGTTGATTCCACTGTAATCTACGTTGGTGAAACAATATACAGAATTGATCAAGCATCACACTTTGTATTGCACTGTTTTAAATAGTTATTAAATCATTTGATTAGACAAAGAATAGTTGGTTGTCAGTGATATGGTGCAACATTCACTTCATGCTTTCAAGAATAGTCATAGTCCAAAACCAAGAATGGTACATACGTAATGTAACCATAATGAGCTATAATGAGCATATCAATCCCAGATAAGTTGTAGAAGAAGGACGTAAGAAATAAGAAAGCTAGCATTTCCCTAGATCTCAGAAACCATAGATGCATTATTTGGTGACAGAATTCTGTGCCATTTGAGACACAAAATAGAAAATTGTCAACTTACATTATGAAAAATCCACTTGGAGCCAAGACAAAAAAACAATTTAGTTGAAGCAATTACAAACTATGCTTCATGTATATGGGTACTCTACGCATTGTATTACCATGCATATAGTATACAATTCTATGAATTTATCTGTATCTATCTAAACTAGTAGTCACAAGCAAACTGCACTGAACTGGGCAAATCATTCAACAAATACAGAACACACACTCAGGTTAATACTCACTCTGGCTCCTAGTCTCAATTGATCGATAGTAACCTCTGCCAAGGCGTATTTCTGTAGTAGGTCATCATAATCAGACTGAAGTTGATCCACTAACTCATCAGCTTGTATCCTTGAAGATGCTTCCCGTTTCAGTCGAGCTGTCAATTCCCGTCTGGAGGTATCCGAAAGATTTTCCCAGTCTGTGCTGCAAACTGAAGACTCCCAATAATTGTCAATTTGGGATGAAGGTGGTGATTCACTGGTGTACTGAGTACTGCTCAGTCCACTCCGTCTGCTAGTTTCTCCGCTCTCATCATCACTTTTATACTTGGAAGGAGTTGACCTCCCAGATGTTGAACCCCTTCTAACTGGGATTCGACTGGGAGTAGTTCTGCCAGATACTTTAGCACTGGGTGTGGTTCTCCCAGATTTGCTTGTGGGGGTGTCTCTACCATTCTTAGAGGGTGTGTTCCTACCACTCTTAGACGGCACATCTTTGCTGGTTTTGGATGGGGTTGTCTTGCCACTGTCTGCCTTAGACTGGCTTGATTTCAGTGGCGTTGTTCTTCCTGATACTGGAGTTGTCCTGCCAGACTTAGGGGTTGTTCTCCCGGATTTAGGGGTTGACCTGCCAGTTTTATTTGGGGTGACCCTACCTGACTTCTGAGGTGAGGATCTACCGTTTTCAACACCACTGTCTTTCCCCTTAGGTGTTGATTTTTTGATGGGTGGTCCAATACTCTTAGGTGGTTTGCCAGTCACAATAGCAGTAGGAGACACACTATGCTTAGTGTACCTTTCTGGAGACGTGTCAATTACATCCGATAGATTAATAACAGTTTCTGATGTATTATTGAGATCAGAATTATTACCAATATCATCAGGTGACACAAGTTCTTCCCTAGTTATGTCAGTCAATGATGAAATATCCGGAAAATTTTGTTTTGAAAGCGTACTGGCATTCATGCTGTCTGCTGACGTATTCTTGATATCTTCCTCTGGTCCACTCTCTTTCGCGGATTCATCACTTTCAGACACATCATGCCTTTTATGTTCCGGAGAACTCTCTATGATACTAGAGAGATCCTGAGAAGAGTTATGGGTAACTGTTTGGTCATGCTGCTCTTCAACCTCAAAGACATCAGAACTGTAAGTATCCTGACTCAGAGATAGAGGCTTATGTTCAAAATGTTCTTTAGGAGTTTTTTGTAAAAATTTCATCATATCAAGACTTTCATCCACAGGGCTAGCTGTTGGTGCACTGACACTGTCATAGCTACGTCTCTGTCCTGGTTCTTTCATTACACCAAACTCATCAAATTCATCTTCTTCCATTATCGCCTCAGCCATTATCCCGTCATTCAATTCATCAAAATCATCTCCTTTTATTGTTCCTTCATCATCCGAATCCCCGATCACACCTTGATCTTTTAAATCCTTACTAGATGAATCTTCAAAGTCATCCTCGTACATTACGCCTTGTTCTCGTAAATAATGAGCAAGATCTTTATCTTGTGGTGGTGTTTGCCTTTCATTGACTCCCACATCGTCGTTTACAAGCTGTTTTTCCAAACTTTCAAATTCAAGTAGTGATAGTGTTTGCTGAGTTTTTGTTTCATAACCATAAGCATCTAAGTTGTCTATAGCATTCTTTGAAGTGTGCTTCATTGGCTTGATTTCATCTTCATCATCAATAAAGTTCAATTCTTCAAGGTCTTTTGACCCATCTAAGTCACTTAGGCTTAGGCTTGGTTCCTCTTGAAATGGGTGTGAGTCGTCACTGTCAAAGTTTATTGTGGATGCTACATGCTCCATATCTTCATTGACTGAACTCTGTGATAAAGATTGCATGTGTTCTGCAGGAAGAAGAATAAAATCCATTACAATTTAGACATTGAACTTAGGGCCAGCATAAACATAAACACTCATATAGAAATTAAATTATTTAATGACAAAAATTATTGGAACAGCCAAATTCAGGAAGCTTGGCCCACCATCTGCAGCTTGGCCTGCCCACCATCTGCAGCTTGGCCCACCCACCATTTGCAGCTTGGCCCACCCACCATCTGCAGCTTGGCCCGCCCACCATTTGCAGCTTGGCCCACCCACCATCTGCAGCTTGGCCCGCCATCTGCAGCTTGGCCCACCCACCATCTGCAGCTTAGCCCGCCATCTGCAGCTTGGCCCACCCACAATCTACAGCTTAGCCCGCCATCTGCAGCTTGGCCCACCCACAATCTACAGCTTAGCCCGCCATCTGCAGCTTGGCCTACCCACCTTCTGCAGCTTGGCCCACCACCTTGGCCCACCCACCATCTGCAGCTTGGCCCACCCACCATCTGCAGCTTGGCCCACCCACCATCTGAAACTTGGCCCACCACCTTGGCCCACCCACCATCTGCAGCATGGCCCACCCACCATCTGCAGTTTGGCCCACCACCTGCAGCTCTTGGCCCACCCACCATCTGCAGCTTGGCCCACCCACCATCTGCAGCTTGGCCCACCACCTACAAATTTATGTAAACAATTTATTTACATGCATTGTTTATGTTGCATGGGACCCATAACACCACATCACACAGCGTAATATTCATCCCTTTTTGAAACTTCTTTATTTCCTTAATAGCTCACCTGGTATTGGCACTTTTCTGATGCGAGTGAAATCGTCTAGATTGATTTTAGATTTTGGCGTGGTGGGGTCGTTAGTATTGTCTGCCATGGTAACCTCACTGTGATGGCTTGCTTCTACGATTATGGCATCTTAAACTGTAATAAAAAAAAAAGATTATCAATACCAGGATCCTGCAGCAAATATTACTTTGCATTCTATATACATTACTAAACACAAGGATTTTTTTAAACAAGGGAACAGGGGAGCAGCATCCTCATGCCATGGCCATGTGCCCCCTTACCCTGGGGAGCAGATCCTCTGGCAACCATAAAATTCTGATTGACCGGGGATCACATGTGGCCAGTCTTCAACTGTGACCTGTTTGATAGTAATGTTGGTCCCAAGAAAGCCACAGAATGCTCCATTTTAACTTAGAATTATCAAAAACTCCACACCCTGGTAGGGAGAACCCTATCTCCCCCACTTGATGGTGCCGCTGAATTGCAGTGCTCCCTTCTGTAGTTTTTTTCTAGAAAAACCCCTGATACAGTGATTGTTTTGAAGGAGTGGTTTATTAGTGGTTATACGAACATCGCCCTCTTGTGTTCACTTCAATGGTGTTAGCATTTAGTTTTGTTGATAAACCATATGGCGACTAAAAACAACAATATTTTCATAATACATACAACGGCAAGAATGAGAAGAATCAGTTGATGCTCACTATAGGTTAGCTACACAATGATTTGCAAAGTCACGCTGTTTAGTTACACCAATGACACAGTACAGGTAACAGTGGTGTAAATAAAAGAGTGCAGGCCAAGCAAACTATAACAACAATAGTTGCCCGAAGGCCTGTCTTACAACAATAGCAAAAGACCACCACATGGTAAATAATAATACATTAGATACAAAGGGTTAGAAATTCTTATTAGTGTCCCACCCTGCTGTGAACTGTCTGACAATACAAGGTTGTTTTTACAGTGGTATAGTTGGAAATACTCATAGGTATGCATGCAACTATGTCACATTAATTGCTACCTATATTACTATACCTCAATCAATCAATCAATCACTGATACTGTCAGCACATGTGTAGAATAATGTCAAATTAGGCCTAATTTAGCAGACTACTAAATTATGCACAAAAACCAAAGGTTTTATTTATACATGCAATGATGCATACAACTTGTTGATTCGTTGACAAAACACAGGATTTAAACTCTCTTTACAGTAAAGTTAAGCTGTCAGTGCATTCACAATTTACTTGTTCATGGCAGCAGTGTCAGAAAGATTTCCTCAAACAGACTTCACAGTGAATGCTATATCATGCCAATGAGGATGTTGCCATACATGTATTTTATAATAACAAACTGCAACTTTCAGAAGTGTTGCATAAAAACAGAATACTGTAAAATACTTTATTTTACCTTGAATTAATTTTCAATGAAAAGGTTTTTGGGTGTTTTATACAGAATTTTATTTTCACTGATTTTTGATCAGTTGAATGTAAAATGTACGAAAAAAGGTATATTCACTAGATTTGTTTTCATTAAATCATCTCTTCAGTACACAGTGTACATACATGAGTTATGAAGATACAGTATTAGTTGGATGTACTTTGTAGTCATGCACTACATAAAGTATTTTTCATTTCCTCTCACTGCATTTAAATGACAGGAAAATATACGCCATGTTTATACCGACATAAATGTACTGTATTTTATAAATAACTCTTTATGATTACAAATGTATCAATTCGATAGCAGCAAACACTGTTCATGACACTATAGCCTAATTATATTACAACAGATACACCTATTATTTTACACACAGTCATTTAGGTGCTAATTACGGTACTATTCATTAGAATAATTCACCAGAGAACAGATGTACAACATGCTGCACCAATACACTGTGTTATGAATAAAACCAGCATAGCTATCAAGACAAATATCTGAGTGACCAGTGAATTGTATACCCTCATACCTGAAGCGGCCGCCACAAAACACACCAGTAGACATGTTACATGTATCTGATGAAGTCTGATTACTACATGTATACACAAGTATACATACATCTTCGTTGCTATAAACTGATAAAAACACTGTATTTCTAAGGATGTAATAAAGTTATTATTATTATTATTATTTTTATTGCAAATGTTGATAAGCTGCCTATTTGTTACTTATACATGAGGAACTGATTCAAAGCATTGGAAGTTTTGTAAACAGGTGCTTCACAACACAAAATTAAATTGCATAATTTTTCTAATGATACTTGTACTTGTAGTACATGTATTACTTTTTAGTTTTTGTTACCCATAGAAATGTTCATTTTCTTAAGATACAATAAAATATTACTCTTACTATTACTTATACATGTATTGGATCTAATGATCTCACCTTCACTTCTAATATGAATCTTTGTAGCCAGACTATTAATAATTATGACATCACTTAATTCTGTATGACTAACAGTATATAAATGACTACATAATACCAGTGAGTACATATGCCTATACTAACCCACCATCTGTTACCTCACATTACCTAGTGTATGATGAGGGGCTTATCTACTGATACCAATACAGCATGTGACCACTACACCAGGTGTTCACACACACATAGCTGTCAATTGATATCAAACCTAATTCATGATATCTATTGCATCAAATAAACGCCATCTTCAGACTAAAAAATAACATAGTGAAACTAATGAAGCCCTGCTTTGCAAAACCACTCTTAATACTAACTACCTTACCACATACTACCTTAGCGGTACAAATAACAGCTTTTACAATATTAGTTGAAGCTATCATCAGAAATGCTTTTTACAAGGCAGCATTGCAACCAAGTAATCAATAACCAATTAACTCACTTAATTAACCTTAAAACATATATATAAACTGTATTATTTCAATATCTGTATGTAATATACCAATCAACATATCAACAATGTAAGGTATTTATCTTCCTGCATCAAAATATTCACACTCAATCAATATGCACTAAATATTTTAAATTGGGGATATGAAGATGAGGCTGTAACGTCAATAGAATTAATTCAAAGTGTACTATAATTTTGGTAAAAAAACAGTTTGCACTTTAGTCAATTTGATACAAATCAGCAGTAATACATATATATGAATTATCAAGTCCACCAACATACAACATACCAGTACTAGTACAATTTAAATGAACAAACAAGCAGTCTGTCTTCTGAAAATAAAGCTTATTATCAAAGTAAATAGAAAATTGTCATTTGAAAATATAAAACTAGTCTGACTTGCAATTTTCAAGAAATGGAAATATTGATGGCAAACAAAGATAATAATATGAATAGCCCCAATCATCACATTGTATCTTTTAGCTTAAGCTACTGCAAGTGTAGGAACACAAATGATAGACACCTATACAACCTGGTAGAGTTCCAGCTATCCCATAATAACCTGTTACTCACTGCTACAAGGTGCTATGGATAATTATGTGCACTGAGTAGCACACAGCCACACATCAGGTTGACAGCAGAACTAACTATGCATCAACAAACTATGAATACCAGGACTCAAACATTATGAAAAAAAAACGCTTCATGAAAGGCATAATTTCCTTTTCAGCTGAATTGAATAGGATCACTCGTTTTTACAATTAATAAAAAATATATACAATTTTCTGTAATGTGTTGAACCATGAAAAACAACAATGTGTGTCCATTGTTGCCATAGAAACACTTCACTGACATAAATTTGACAATGACTACGTTAAGCAGGTTGTTCACAATGTGACTCAAAATAGATTCCAATACAAACTAGGATGGATTTAAAGCAATCTTAATTATTTGTCATTCTTGTCAATAGAAATAACTTAAAATTGATAAAAAGGGTCACCATCACAATTCCAAATCATTGTGAATTGTGGGATAGTTTTGTTGTACACTTGGCAGAGATCGCAGGTCCTACAACAATTCAAGTTGGTAAACGTTGGTTTATCATTCTACATATGGTCAACAACAACATAAGACCATGACCTGATAACAGTTAAATCAATATTCTTACAATAACAACTCTTGATGCCACTGCACCTTGGCAACAACTGTTGTAAGGGACTGAGAATATTTTAATGTTATTGCTGCAATGTACAATAAATACAACATAGTATTTATTGTGAACCATTGAACATCAAATACACGTATAAGAAGTACAATGTAGTACCGTAAATATTTGTGAATATCTAGATTTCTTGGCACCTAGAAGAACATACAGGTAGCATACATCAAGCTATTTCTATACTAAGATGGGTAGTATTATTTATAGTAGAATGGCAATTGATGGCAATCCTAGACTGGCCCAGTCGTGGCAATTTTATAATTCTTTCTTAAACCTTGGTCTGATGCAAAATAACTATGACTGGTCTATTCTGAGGCATTCATAATATGCAGTGACTTTATGGAACCCGGGAATGGAACACTTGCGCAAAAGATTCTACGCATCAGACCACACGTGCATAGTTGCGTAGAACCAATCAGGCCAAAAACTGCCATTCTTATTGGTCGGCACTTTACAATTATTAAAAAATGCTACTCATTAGCATAATGTGGTGCAAAATATAGACCAGATGTCGAAATTTTGCATCAACGCGAGAGATTGTACAAACTCGTTCAAAAGGAATAATCATATAAAACAAGAATATTGCCACAACTGGGCCAGTCTATGGCAATCCCTGCATTCTCTAAAATGAGATTCAAGTCTGTTAGACTCAGCTGCGATGCCTTCCTCATGTATCCATCTCATACAGCTATCTTTTAATAAATTATCTTCTCTGACTTCATAAGAGAAATACTCAAAATGATGATTCTTGGAAACAATTGAAAAAAGTTCCAAACTTCACAATACATGTAGTATCAATAGTACATATTATAAAATTTATTTTAGCTGGAATTAATTTTTGCTGAAAAGACTTTTTGGGCATTTTGTATGGATCTCACTGGATTTTATTTTCACTGAATAACCTATTCAGCAAAAATAAATTCCAAGCAAAAATAAAATATTTTACAGTATATGACCCAAGGCAGAGTTTGGCCAGTGAGGTCACCCTAGTGAGGTCACCTGAGTGAGTTAGTAACTGCAGCGGTGTAACTATGGTAAACCAACGAGAGC